TTAGGACTAAGCCGAAAGACTTGGATGAGTACATGGAGGAGGAAGACGGCTGGTCTTTTACTCAGCGTCCATGTATGACCATGGGAGAGGCTATCGCAGGGGACCAGGACACCATGAACAGAGCAGAGACAGGTATGACGGGTATAACCCTCTGTATGATATGGATGATGACATGGTTTTTAGGGCCGAGCCTCCTGTGATGGAATTCCCCAAATTTGATGGCCATGGTGATGTGAGTTTTTGGTTGTATTTGGCGGAGAGGTGGTTCTGGAACCACCAGACCAATGATGAACGAAAGGCGCATCTAGAGTCTTTTATTCAGAGGGGGATGCCTTGCGTGGTGGGAATAGATGGAGAGGTCTTATGCTGCAGTGGGGACTCTAATCACATGGCCGATATTTCAAGAGGAGCTCAAGTACAGGTTTGGTAAGTAAGATGGATGGGCTCCAGAGCAACTGGCGAAGCTGAAGCAGACTGGGGTAGTAGTAGAGTATCGGTCCGAGTTCCTGAAGTTAGGGAACTAGTGCAAGGGCATGGCGAAAAAGACTCTAGTGGGATTATGCATGCCTGGGTTGCGACCTGAACTGGTAGTCTCAGTCAAGGTTTTTTAGCCTGATTTGCTTCGAGTTGCTTTTAGACTTGCAGGTCGAAAGGAGGAGGAGCTAGATAGCTGGAAGGGGAGTGTAGGCATTTTCCGAAGAGTGCAAGCAGGGCGGGAAGCAGGTCAAGCACGATGGCAGCTTCGGAGAGTCCACTTGCATCCACCACGTCACCGGGAATGGCAAGCCCAGTGGCCACTGGAGTACCACCAAGAGGGCGCATTCCGGCTCAGCTACCGCCGAAGGGGTTCGTCAAGCTGACACCAACTGAGATGGAGCAGAAGCATAGAGATGGATGCTACTTCAACTGTGATGAGAGGTATACTGTGGGACATCAGTGTGCCAATGGCCATTTAATGTTGTTGGTGGGCAACTAGGAGGACAAAAGCGAGGAGATGGCGGCTGAGGAGACAAAGGAGATGAAAAAAGCGGAGCAGAAGAAGGAAGGCCAACCTTGAGGGCAAGGTTGGTCTCAAGGAGGGTGGATTGTTAGAAACATAAATTATAGCCCTTCATCTATTTTGGAATGGTTGTCGTTTATTTCGGTTTTATGGATTTTGGATGTTATTTGGGGGTTTTCAGGAGGATTTGGATGTTTTGGGTTTGAGACATTAATTTGGGTAGTTGTAGGGAATTTATTGATCTTACATATAATACTGTACTATTTAGGGTTTTCTTAATAAACAATATCAAAATAATCATTCTCTAACCCTATTCTCTCTCTATCTCAAGAAAACCCAAAATCTCTCTCCCCTTCCATCCTCGAAACAGTTGGCCTTTTCCTCCCTCCCTTTGATGGCCGATTTTTTTCCTTCTCGTCCCTCTTCTTCTTCGTCAATCAAATCCCTAATTCTATTCTTCAATTCCAAATTACCTAGCAATTCCCAATTCTCTATCCCTAGCCGAATGCGCCTAGATCCGTATGTCTTACAACGAAGTACATCTAATGGATAAATCACTTGGCGTATAATATACTCCAAAAGTGTGTCCGTCGTTACCACATATATGGGTAGGGCTGTCAAAACGGTTTCGGGTTTTTGGTTTAACCCGAACCGCCAGCAAGTGTCTGCGGGTTCGGTTTGTTCGGTTTCAACCCGAGAATTTACATGTTGGTTTCGGTTTCATAAACCCGAAACCCGAGAGGGAACCCGAAAATCGAATGTTGCTTAGTTCCTACGGTGATGTTTTGTTGTAGGGAATTATTTCGCTTCGACAATTGACTTAGGGTTGTGAGCATCGTGCCGCGCGCGGCATCGCCATTGGCCACACACTCGACGATCGCAACAACCCTACCCTGCAGCGCCAACCCTACCCTGCAGCGCAATCAGAGACTCCCCCGTCGCCGGCGAACTCATCCGTTCGTTCAAGATCGAAGCTTCCCCCGTCGGGGATCGATGCCAGCGCATCTGGGTCTCAAGCCCTTTGAAGCTTCGACAAAGGAGACCCCACCCCTTTGCAGTTCGCACTTCTCCATGGAATCCCAGTGAGTCTCTTCGCCATGGGTCTGCTCTGTTCTCGCGGCATCGCCATTGGCCACACACTCGACGATCGCAACAACCCTACCCTGCAGCGCCAACCCTACCCTGCAGTGCAATCAGAGACTCCCCCGTCGCCGGCGAACTCATTCGTTCGTTCAAGATCGAAGCTTCCCCCGTCGGGGATCGATGCCAGCGCATCTGGGTCTCAAGCCCTTTGAAGCTTCGACAAAGGAGACCCCACCCCTTTGCAGTTCGCACTTCGCCATGGAATCCCAGTGAGTCTCTTCGCCATGGGTCTGCTCTGTTCTCGTTTCCCTTTACTTTCTGTGCTCAGTGCTCTGTTCTCGTTTCCCCTGCCTGTTGTTCTGGAAGCAGAGTGTAATTGGGTCATGGCGCTTTAGAGATTATGTGCGGGTAGAAATCTTCAAGCCTTTGCAACTCTCTAGGATGAAAGTATGTGAAAGAAAATTTGGTCACTTAAATGCCCTCTGAAGTTGCATCGCTTTTTGTGAAGGGTGGTGCGAGGGGTTGTGCCAGTGAGCTCTGTTCTGCACCACCACGGAGTTGAAACACTGTGATTATGTGCGAATTGTTTCAAGAAGTATGAAAGCTTAACTCATTTATTCTTTTCTTCTCTTGTAGCCCAAAATTTTTGGACAAAAATGTAGTTAAGTAACATCATTGAGAAATTTGAGAGTTTCAATGTTCTGTACATGCATATGAAGATATTGTTGAAAAAACCAAGCTTAAGGTCTTATGTGCCTTCTAGAAACTATGAAAGTTGCAAAATTTAGTCTACTTTGAAGGTTTCCAGCTACTACCATCTGTTTTGTATCGACAGCTGAAGTAAACTCACAACAGCATACTTACATCAATTAAACTTATCCCCATTTGAGCTTTATAGGGAGTTAGATGTAAACTGTAAAGTGTTCTCTAACTATTATAATGTTGACCTACCAATAATCCTTACGAGAACAGGACCCATGCCGGAAGAAATGGAACCTGTTGTTTCGAATGATGATTTCTCTGTTGTACACTTTCGATACCGATTTGGGGAATTATGTTATAGCATTTAAAAGCCTTGTACATCCTGCAGCTAGCCTTCAATACAACCTTTTACCCAATTGGTCTAAAGGATATGCCCCACTAAACAATCATATATAATTCAAATTAAAACAATGATTTGTTGTTTCTGATGCTGATGTTGTTGCTGTTTCAACATGAACATACCCCAGGAATTAATGTCACCCCCATAACACTCAACTTTTCATTTTGACAGGGGAAGTGAGGCACCATCGGCTTCTCGTCCTAGACGTGGAGGACGCTCTAAGAGTACCAGCATTCCTGCTCCTGCACCATCTTCTGCACCGTCTACCGGTACCACCAATGTACCTCCTGCTCAAACAATAGACGAGGAGACAATTTCAAGAAAAAGGAAAGAAAAGTCTGACGTTTGGCCACACTTCAAGCGTTTTAAGAAGGATGGAGTGGACAAAGCAAGATGCATTTATTGCAATGGTGTTCTTATGGCTCCCACTAGATATGGGACTTCTACTCTGCAGAATTATAAAGATAGTTGTTTGGAAAAGATACAAAAGGGTGAGCTGATAGTCGACCATCTATCATCTTCTGGAGGCCAGGTACACACTCTTGGGACTTGGAAATTCGATCAGATTGATGCTAGGAGAGCTTTAGCGGAGATGATTATCATAGATGAATTACCATTTAGGTATGTTGAACATGAAGGGTTCAAACGGTTTATGGCTCGTGTTTGTCCAATGATTGTGTTACCTAGCCGTCAGACCGTTAGAGAGGATTGTATCAAGGTGTTCTTTGAAAACAGAGAGTTGCTGAAGGACTATTTCAAGACTAAGTGTTTAGGGATGGTATCGCTCACCACTGATACTTGGACTTCTTTGTCCAATCTCAATTATATGTGCATTACTGCTCATTTCATTGGTAGAGATTGGAAATTGCATAAAAGAATTATTAACTTTGTCCAAGTTACAAAACATTCTAGAAGTGAAATTGGAAAACAGTTGGCTAGTTGTTTGGTGGAGTGGGGCATTAGGAAGGTGTTTTGTATAACAATGGACAATGCTAGTGTTAATGATGTGGTTGCTATCCATATGAAGGAACAGTTGAAAGAGTGGGGATCAGATATTTTGGATGGAAAGTATCTGCAGATGAGGTGTGTGGCTCACATTATTAATTTGGCTGTGAAGGATGGGCTTAAAGAAACTGGTAAATCTGTGGAGCGAGTGAGAGAGTCTGTGAAATGGGTTAAATCTACACCAGCTAGGAGCAGAAAATTTAAAGATTGCATTGAGTTTGAAAAGATAGTGTCGAAGAAATTTGTTTCGTTGGATGTAGCTACAAGGTGGAACTCAACGTATCTGATGTTGGAATCTGCAAAGCCATTTGAGAAAGCATTTCAGACATTAGCTAGAAATGATAAGAAATTCAAGAAACATCTCAATGAAAAAAATATGGAAATGAAAGCCTTGGTATCACAATTTCTGATGATTGGTCTAGTGTGGGACGGTTGATTGATTACCTGAAGCTATTCTATGATTTGACTGTTCGAGTTTCTGTGACTTCATATGTGACTTTACACCTCTTGTTTGATGAGGTATGTGAAATGTATACTATGATATCTGAGTGGGCTGATGTTAGAAACAAAGTTTCTAACGGGATTCCGATTGGGTGATATTTGGGAATTTAGGGATTGAGAAGTTAGAATTAGGGATTTGGAAGAAGAATTGGGAGAGAATTGAAGAGAATGGCCGGCGGCCGGATTAGGAAGAGAAGTTGAGAGGATTTGGGAGAGAATAGGGTTTAGGGATTTTCTTCATATTCTTCTTGACTGATTACTAATGAATCACAAAGTACATATTTATATAGGAAATACCGGAAAATCCTAATAATAAACCTAATTCTATTAAATGACTACTAGCCATATTTAATAAAACCTAATAATAATGATAATGATATAAAAACCCGTTTTCCTTAGAAAACGTGTTTCTAACATCCGATCCCCCTTGAAACCAACCTTGCCCTCAAGGTTGATCAACTCAACCCATTTCTTCATGTCTACCGTGCAATCCACGTCTTGCCTCCATTTCTTGCTCTTTCTTTTCTTCCAATTATGTTCTACTACTCGAACGTATCTCACGCCAACAACTCCAAATCCAATGACTTCTTCCTCATCCATGTGGTTCGTGTCGTAAGCATAGCCTATTGACTGTCCACTCCCCTTTTCAAAATCCACCAAGTAAGAATTGGGGTGCTCACCTAAGCCCACAGTTCTTCTTTCTTCATATTCAAGCCTACACTTTGTAAAAGAGATTCCATAGGGCTTATATGAGGCCCATCTTCATTATGGAGTCTCTCTGCTTGTCTGTGTGTACGCAGCCCAGGGCTGGTTCGTGCTAGCCCGCCTCGTCGCTCTGCTCGGCCCAATGATGTGGCTTGTTGCTGCTGTTGTTTTCGCACCAAGGAGAGCCCAACACCTCTCTTCATGCGACCCAACCTATGACCAAGGATGATGGGTCTCATCTCCTCGCCTAGGCCCACTCCCTTTTGCCTCATCAGACCTGCGGCCCGGAGGTTTCGGCCCAACGAACATAGCTGCTGATGTGGTCTTACGCGGTTGGAGGCCACCCTAGGGTTTGAGCGTAAGGAAGCAATGTCGCCGCCTGCTCTCGCCGTCTCTGCCTTCCGCGCCACGGCAGCGCGCAACGCGGCCTCCGCCCCGCCTCGGCCAGCCTCGTCGAGCGGCGCCAGCTCCGCCCCTGCTGCGCCCTCGTCTTCCTTCCTCGCCACGGCGCCGTGTGCCGCTCTCTCCTTCCAATAGCCCACAATCTGCCACATCTTTTCTTGCTTCTGAGCCCACGTCAACTCCGATATATCGGTTGAACTTATCAGTTTCGATTTGGTAGGAAGCTGTGCCTGAGAGAGTTGTGATGAACTCAGGTCTTCGACCATGGCTCTGATACCAGATGTTAGAAACAAAGTTTCTAACGGGATTCCGATTGGATGATATTTTGGAATTTAGGGATTGAGAAGTTAGAATTAGGGATTTGGAAGAAGAATTGGGGGAGAATTGAAGAGAATGGCCGGCGGCCGGATTAGGAAGAGAAGTTGAGAGGATTTGGGAGAGAATAGGGTTTAGGGATTTTCTTCATATTCTTCTTGACTGATTACTAATGAATCACAAAGTACATATTTATATAGGAAATACCGGAAAATCCTAATAATAAACCTAATTCTATTAAATGACTACTAACCATATTTAATGAAACCTAATAATAATGATAATGATATAGAAACCCGTTTCCTTAGAAAACGTGTTTCTAACTGCTGATGGTATAGATTTTGAGGTGTCTTGCATGGCTGATAGAATCAAGTCCAAACTTGCCAAGTATTGGTTTGAAGATGAGTTGGAGAATTCCAAGATGAATCGGTTGTGTTATATCGCAGTCATATTAGATCCTAGGCGGAAAGTTGAATATCTTGAACAAGCTTTAAAAAAGGTATATGGTGAGAGCATGGGTAAAGCTTTGGTGGAAGAGGTGAAAGATGAAATGCGTCTTCTGTTTGACCATTACAAGCATAAACTCGGAATTCATGGCAGTTCTCCCATTGTGATTCAGGAAGATGAGCAAGAACCTAGTGGAAGTGGGGATGGGAAGAAGAAAGGGAAGATTTGGGGTGATTTCAGGAAAATGAAAAGAGATGTCATTCTGAAAGGAACCAGAAAAAGTTCAAAATCTGAGTTTGATAGGTACCTTGAGGAGGAGGAGGATGATGAAGTGGTTACACGAGCATTGGTGGGTTCAGAAGAGGATGAATACAAGTTTGACATCTTGGGGTGGTGGTCGCGAAGTGGGATAAAATATCCTACTATTTCTGAGATGGCTAGGGATATTCTTGTTGTTCCTATTTCCACTGTTGCTTCTGAGTCGACATTCAGCACAGGAGGTCGAGTTTTAGATTCGTTTAGGACCTCCTTATCCCCTGAAGTTGTGGAGGCTTTGATTTGTTGTGAAGATTGGATAAGATCTTCAGACTCCGAGTTGTTGGCTTATGGAGAAGATGAGGGTGATGAAGTGGTATTTCAAAATGGTAAGGATTTAATCTTTCTCTTTATTCTTATATTTGTTATCTTTGATCAAGTCATATTCTAACAAGTTGTTATTGTTTATGTTATCCAGTATATGCAGCTTTTCAAGCTTGGAGTGCAAGTGCACCTGCAGGACCTAGTGGAAGCTCTCGTGCAGGACCTAGTGGAAGCTCTCCTGCTATCCATGTTTTGGTCTCGAGTCCTACTATGTCACAAGTGGAAGAAGACTATGTCGACAACAATTCCGATGAGAATGATGAGACTTATGTAGATGTAGAGCCTGATGAGGAGTGATAATGGTAGTAGTATTTATCTTGTATGGTGGATGAATTTTTATTTTACTTGGATGTTATCATTTGAGGATTGTAAAACTAATGTGTTTAATTGCGAGTTGAAGATAATCTCATCTATGATTGTCGGTATTTTATGTTGAACAAAATTATTTATAATTTTGTGCCAAACACCAAACATTTTTTTGCATATGATAGTACCTTCAATTTTGGACCTATGGTATTACTAAAACATTTAATTATATGAAAATCCACAATTAAATGGCCCAAAAGGTTGTATTACTTAACATATCAATACATAAAATTATAATAGTATGTCTATAGTTATGGAATACATAAAATTAAATATTTTAATGATTAACTAATAAGAATAAAATTGTTTGTACAAACAAAAGAATGTACAAATAATAAGAATAATATTTTAATAATCAAACTAATAAGAATAAAATAGTATGTTTTATGTTTAAGAATGTACAAATAATAAGAATAAAATTGTTTGTACAAACAAAAAATATAAAATTCAAATTACAAAAGTATTTAAAAAATTCAAACCGGTTCGGTTTCGGGTTCACCCGAACCGAACCAATACCACCAGTGCATTTTTCGGGTTCCTGTACCCGCAACCCGCAAAACACGGGTCCGGTCTCGGTTTCAGATTTGTGGGAGCCGGTTTCGGGTTTTCGGTTTTTTGCGGTTTTCGGCTTCGGTTACCCGAACCGAACCGAACCAACAAGCCTATATATGGGTCTAACTATTATACTCTTAGAGTATAGTATACTCCACGTACTCCTAGTGAGATATCTTTATCTAGATTTGAATAAACCGGTGTGGGGGTATAAGACTATACCTTAATCTCTAATGTATAAATCCGAGACTCGAATTTCTAAAGCGAAAGATTAATTTAATAAATAATAATAAATAACTATTCTAATTTGTCAAAATACAACAAAGTACATGTAACAGATAAGTTATTTGGAATATGATATACTCGATGAATATAGTCTATTGCCATATATATAAGTCAAACTGTGATACTCCTAAATACAAAACTTTAGGAATCTTTAGGTACTCCTAATGAGGCATGTCTATCTTTACCACATATAAAATCATTTTGCGTTTCGAAATTAGGATTAAGGCTTAAGATAAAGTATTGTGATTATATGTTGTATTAATGCTAAGTTGAGTGTAGAAGCCACCAATATAAAGAGTTTATATCTGTTCTTATAAAACTCTATGAGATAAATATTTAATATGACAAGAACAAACAATCCGCACGCGTAGTGTATTTACTATTTAGTAAAAATCTACCATGTTCCTGGTATCGTAAACTGAACCGAAAAATAGAGGGAGCTACCCAATCACAGGCATACTTTCTTTAACCTTACGCAGCGCAGTTGCTGCCTGCTGCTGGTTGCATCCTTGCATTTCCAGTTCCTACCATCGCAGGAAAAAATCCCAACCAGAACAGGATAGACGGCGAGGTGGATGGCGAAGGCTGCGGAGGATACAGAGGTGGCAGGTATTTGAACTGTAAGGATCTCGCCACGAAGTAATCAAGAAGCTTGACTGTCAGTTTGATGGTGCTTGAGCTTGACCAAATCCTTTGCAGTACTGCAGACACAGACTTGCCTTTAGATGACAAAGAAACAAAGATACTGTAAATATAAACAGAAAGCATGGGAGATTATGCATATTAACCAAAGTTAGCTCCTGGATTCTTCTCTTCCTGGAGTTGCAGGTGGTGTTGTTCTTGTAGGCCGTGGACGTGCAAGCTGATCAGGATTGCACTTGTGAGAAGGAGAAGCAAAGCATGGACATGGTTGACTTCAGTCTTCATGGTTTCGCGTTATATTTGAGCTTTCTATTTCAAATGCAGTTTTTGCCAGCAGCAGCAGCAGAAGAACAGGCACACAAACAAGGATAAGGAGTTTGGATAACTCCTCGCTCTATATAAGAACATAGGCAAAGAGCAAGTCAAAGTTTCTAGTCACGGGTCAACACGGATCGATAAATACTGGATGGACAAACTGTATCATAGTTCCTGTTTGTTGTCAACTTAACCCCAAAATAAGTCAGGAAAATGTCGCAGCAAAAGATCGTGTGGGAGTGGAGAGGAAAGTCAGTCAAGCATAGTCGAAGTTTTAAAGTGTAATTATTCCAGCATTAGGAAAACAAGGAATTGCTGAAATATGGCTTCGTTACTCAGACGGTCAGACTGGCTAATTAGTAAATCCAGAATCTCACAGGCCAACCGGAAAGCATCTCGAGTCATAGCAAGTCAGGGATTCAGAAAGGAAGAAACAATGTCAGAGTTGATTCATGTTGATCCCCAACATCATCTTTGTGCAATAGAGTTGGTCTATCTCAAGGAAAGAGCTGGTCGCAACTCGCAACAGAGAAACAATCCACGATTGAATGTCAGGGTGGGCAGGCAACTGGGGAGGTTTAACCACTCGAAACTGCAGTAGAGATCTAAACTGAAACCAATTCGTTCAGTGCATTCTGTTGGTGTTGTTGTGACCAGGAGTCCTGGCCACAGAATGCACCATATTTGTCTCAGTTATGGTGCCTAAACCGCCCACCGAAATTGCCTAATTGGCCAATCTCAATGAAAGAGCTGGTCGCAACTCGCGACAGAGAAACAATCCACGATTGAATGTAGGGGTGGGCGGGCAACTAGGGAGGTTTAACCGCTCCAAACAGAGAAATATGGTGCATTCTGGTGGTGTCGGAGCCAGGAGTCCAAGCCATACAATGCACCATCTTGGTCTCAGTTCTGATGCCTAAACCCCCCACCGAAGTTGCGTAATTTGTGGTTCAGGTCAACCTAGCTATAGCTTATATTGTCAAACCAAACTCCAAATTGGTTCAGAAAAATGCAGTAAACCATTCGTTGCAGCTAATCAACGAGTCGGGAGGTGGAAATGAATGGTCTCGTCAACCAGAGACTCCAGTTAAGATCGAATCATTACAGCACAGGAATTGGATAAACGTTCAATGCAAATATAGGAAGATTGATATCACATTCTCTACAGGCACAAAGGTTCGAAATTTCCCATTTCTTGGAACTCCCAAATGGGATCCTATGAAAACTAGCATACCTGTGATTTCTCACAGTTCATTCCAAGCAAAAAAAAGAAACACAAGGCTGTAATGTAATGAGCAATTTGCGGGGTAAGGAGAGACAGTACCGAGCCTGCAGGTTCAGCTGCTGCTGCTGCTGCTACTACTACTCTCCCAACCGGTCCAAAGCTGCTCGGGCCGCAGGGTACTCCGGTTCAACCTTCAGAGCTTCTTCGTACGCGTTCCTCGCCTCTTCCTTCTTCTCCTCCGCCTCGTAACACTCTCCCAACAGTCTAAACGCCTTGGCTTTATCCTCGCAAATCTCCACCGCCCGAGTCAGATCCTGAATCGCCGATTCGACTCGCCCCTCGCGGCTCTTAATCGACATCAGGAGCTCCGCCCTGCGGTACAGCGCGTCCCCTCGCTCGACCTCGGTCAACGACTTGATCGCCAGCGGAGACAGCGCGATATCGAAGGAGGCGAGGGCGGAGGTCTTGAACCCTTGGAGATCGAGAGCGAGGCCCTTGAGGATGTGAGCGGCGGCGTCTCGCGGGTCGTAGGCGATCGCCTTGTCGGCTTGCTCCTCCGCTTGCTTGGCTAGGGTTGAGCGGGTGGTGGAGGTGGAGCTCCGCCTGGCCTGGGAGAGGAGCTGGGCGCCGCGGACGAACTGGCGCTTGGACTCGGCGTCGGCGGCGAGGGCGCGCTGGCGGAGCTTGGCGTAGATCTTCTGGGGGATGCCGTGGGAGTAGAGGAACATGAAGACTGTGACGCCGATCCCGAAGACTTGGAGAAGTATGTCTGTCACCATTCGGTCCATTTTTCTCTCTCTTTGTTTGTGGTCTGCTCCGGTGAAGTGATAGCTCCGACGGGAGAGAAGAAGAGATGGGGAATTGGTTGGATTCGGGAAGGGGGAGATTTCTTTCTATTTGTTTTTCTGGTCGTCGGAATTGAAGGAGCGAGAGGGTCATAGATATAGTTGACGGGAGGGTGGGTGGGGACATGGTCATGGTCAGACGATTGCAAGGAAAGCCGCCCCGATTCTCCTTAAAAAATATAAGAAAAATTCTACGTGAAATGAAATGCTCAACTCATCAGTCATCAGGCCGCCTTTATTTACCAAAGGATTCGGGTTCTCTATTACTTTTCTTCTGTTGCTGACTCTGTTTGACTCCCTTCCATTTCTCTTTCGGAATACAACTTTCTCTCATTTGCATTAACGATAAATGTTGTTGGCCTAATTATTTCATGAAAACATAGCATTTGAGCCTCGCGTAAGAAGTGACAAACCAATCTATTCACCGTTGATAAATTTAAGAAGAGATCAAGAGAATCCAACCTTCAAATAGTTGACTTCTCAGTTCTCACGCCAGTAATTTTGCTCAAACGTTCTGGATTGGACCACGTGAGCAAACTTGGAGAGGAAGATTGAAGGTTGAGCTGCAAGAAGCGGACCCACCAGGTGAGAGAGGCCGAAGAGGTAGGGATGTTAAAATTCGTTCTTCGTCTCCCGCCTCCTTTATTTCGTTCTTCCTTCCGTCGCCAATGGGTGCAAGCTTTCCACCACAGCAGCCACTGGAACAGTTCGATGGAAGCCCACAAGCCCAATTCTCTGGCGACTATAATTTAGTTTAACTTGTGCTCTTGTAAAATTCGATAGGGATACTTTCTTGGGTGATGCATGGCTTTTTTCTATTTGGTGTGGGTTTCTGGATTCTTGGCTAAGTTGTTTTTGGAGATTTCAATCATTGGATATATTGCTGGCTTTTTTATAATGAATAGATGTTTTTGTTTTGTACTTCTGAATCCATGACCATCGTTTTCATATTTGCGGCCGGAAGCAGGGGAAGTTGGAAATTAAGGGTGGTTGGGCAAGAAGAGGAGGAGGAGAGGAATCGACCAGAGACGCGGGGGTCGAGGGGAGGATAATGTTGTGGGAAGTTGTAGCCGGGATGGATACTGGTGGTGAAGTCGTCGGCAGAGGAATCAGAGTGCCGGGGGAAGAAAGGTAGGAGGCGACATTGTTGGTTGGGAGGAGGGTGTTTGGGTAGAAGGGATTTCAGGTTTGCTGCGGTGATTGTGCGGCGATTGTGTGAAAGGAAAGCTTCCGCAGTAGTATTCCGGTTAGCTATCGATATCCGGTTAACACCCCGGTTAGTGAAACCGGTTACCCGTAAACTAGAAAAGGCAGTATGTCATCCGATTACCGTCTTAAATTGCTCTAACCCGTTAACGGTATATACCGTTAACCGGTAAAGCTATTACCACCCCTAGGAAGAGGAGGGGGTTTGCAGGACTCTTGTCTCATTTAACGCACTCACCTAACACCTATTTCTCTCATGAAAGTTTCATCTTTGTCAACCCTCTGATCTCTTTGCTCTCCTCCGCCTGTTGTTCAAGAGAAGAAGAAGAAGAAGAATAATACCATAAACCCTAAATTCTTGGTCGCCATTGTTTTGTTTCTCTTCTCGGCGAGGATTGAGAGAGAACATGGTCGATCTAATTGAGATTGATCTTCGAACCTAGAAGAGGAATGGCCCCTATCTTGGTGATATAATCCCCAATGTGGATGGTGAAGATATATGTGATGTTTTGTGGGGATGGTAAGAGTGGATGGATGCTTTTGATGAAATGGATGGGAGTATGTGAAGACAACAAATGATTCATGATCGTACACTTCACTTACATATGTTTCCCTGATCACGGGCATAAGTAACAGACTGTGCCCAGACAAGTATAACTGGAGATAGATTACTGAGATGATGAAACATATGGTTGAGATTAGGATTGGCATTTATTGTGTTTGTTGACAAAAAGTTTATGGGTTTTGCGTATTTGAATACTTATTCATGTACTTTCAAATACCAGTTGTGAAAAGTTTTTACATGCTTTGTTGTATTTTTTGTAAGTGCATGAATATGTTCTATAAGAACATGAGAATATTCGTTCATATGCTTAAGTTCATGAATAAGAAATTTGTATTCATATGTTTGTCAATACATGTTCGTCTTTAACGATACGAGAATTGTGGTTCATATATTTATGATTACTTATTCGCATGTTAATGAATATGGGTTGGAAGAACAAGAGAATATATTTCATATGTTAATGAACACTTGTGATGTGTTGATGAATATGTGTTGGAAGAAGAACATAATATTTGTTCATATGTATGTCAATGCATGTTCGTATATTATTGAATATCAGTGTTCATATGTTTGTGAATACATATTGTAACATCCCGAACCTTTTCCCGACAAGATACTGTCCGCTTTGGGCCTCTACACCAGCACGGATTTTAACTTGGGGTGCAATTAAGGATGACTTCCCATAAGGTCACACATCCTTGTTTTACTCCACACTGAGCACGTTTAACTTCGGAGTTCTCACAAGAACTCTTCCATTAGACCCCAAAACGCGTCTTATCAGTTAAGGCCGGTTTCCTACTTATGAACCATGGATCTCTCCCGTGCTTTGTCGATGTGGGATTTGCCTAAGGTGTTACGTACACCCCCCTTGGGACTCAACGCCCTCGTTGAGTTTTGCCCCACCATCGTTCAAGATGGACGCGAAGAGGCTCTGATACCACTTGTAACATCCCGAACCTTTTCCCGACAAGATACTGTCCGCTTTGGGCCTCTACACCCGTACGGATTTCAACTTGGGGTGCAATTCAGGGTGACTTCCCATAAGGTCACTCATCCTTGTTTTACTCCACACTGAGGACGTTTAACTTCGGAGTTCTCACAAGAACTCTTCCATTACACCCCAAAACGCGTCTTATCAGTTAAGGCCGGTTTCCTACTTATGAACCATGGATCTCTCCCGTGCTTTGTCGATGTGGGATTTGCCTAAGGTGTTACACATATTCATATTTCAATGAATATTTGTTGGTGTGTTACTGAATATGAGGTGGAAGTACATCAATATTTTGCTTACATTATTGTCAATATTTATTTGCATCTTCATGAATATAAGTTGGAATAATAGGAGTAGACTTATGACTATAAAGTCTTGAAGATGGTACCCTACATCTCCTTGTCATTCAACAAGATCCTAACACAAGCTGCTAAGATTTTCACTTCTACATGCTTACAAGGTTACAACAACACTATGAACAATTGAAATATTATAAACTTGAACCACACTCGAATGGCAGTGACGACGGCTTGATTGGGTACAACCAATGCAGTCAAAATATCGATTCTACGTAGAAGCATTTTGGTGATCTAGAAGCGTAAAAATGTAAGCTTTTAAACTTTAAAGCGTAGGGTTTGACTACACTTGTAAGAGAAAAGTTTGACTCTACATAATGTCGGGCGACGTATGAGAAGTACTAGGCTTCAGAGCCCAGGTAGCCAGACCCAATGTTTAACCGCCTCACTAGGCGGATAGCGTCCTTGTGTGACCCATAGGCGACTGACCTCATATGTGATGAGGATAGACTACCTGACATAAAGCATCAAGGGCAGACAAGAGATGCATGACTCAGAAGTAATGATTTCATCGATTTGGGTAAGACTAAGCATTAATTAACCATAGTAGGCGGTCGCCTACTAGAAGGGACGTGCTTAGAGCGCCCGACACAACATTTAATGCCCTAACCCCCATCTTTGTGAGTATAAATACCCCCATAAAGAGCATTGATGGTAACTCAACTACTACTCTTCTCACTAAACATAACATATATTTTCACATCTCTTTATAACTTAAGCATCAGAGAGTGTTCGTGACGGCCGCCCACATACCCTTGTTGCATGATCCCGGAGTGCCTTCCCTCCGCAAAAAAACAGACGCCTTGCTCGTGCCTCCTCAACCGCCTAGAACATTCTAGGCTCAAACAATTTGGCACCCACTATGGGGCACACAGCGAAGTATTGAAGAAATGGCGGACGGGACCTCCGGAACTCCCGTGAAAGGAATAATAGAAGGAAGGGACGTGCAAAGAATGGAGATGTCGACTATCGAGGAAGAAATGGATTTAGAACTTCGTGTCAAGGACCATGGGCCAGCAAATATCAAGCATGCAAGAAAGTCTTAGCCAGATTTTGTCAATGTTCAAAGCAAAAGACAACCCAAAGAGCTCAAAAGTGCAGAAGCAAAAAGGGAAAGAGACTGATGTCAAAATTCCTGCCATTCCTACTCAGACAGAAGGCAGGTAATCTGATGAAGGAGCAGAAGAAATTGACCTCCACTATCTGGAGTATCACTTTAAACCGTCATACAAAGCAAAGAGCCATAGCATGCTGCAAAACTCGTTGGCAAGAAGCCTTTTCAAAACTCAAGTCCCATCTAACTTCTCCTCGTTGAGACTCCTGACCTACAGTGGCAATTTGGACCCCACAGATTATTTGAGCGCGTTCATGCTGGAAATGCAACCCATCAATGTCTCAGACGCTAATCTATGCAAGGCGTTTCCAGTGACCTTCAGCGGTCACTGCAAAAACTAGTACAGCTCACTTCCGTAAGGAATAATCAAAGGCTTTGAGTAGTTTGCAACGCTATTCTCATACAAGTTCGCATCTCAGAGAAGGCAAAAGCTTACCGTATCGGCTCTCATAAACTGTAGGCAAAGAAGCAACAAACCACTCATAGATTTCTATGATAGATGGAACGCCATAGCTTATGAAGTTCAAGGGATCTCACCCGACCTCCGCTCCCGAGCACAAAGCACAAACGTTCACAACTTGACCGGTAACATCATTCTATTCCCTTCTTTTACGCCATTGAGGGCAATGTCGAGCTTAAGTTTGGGGGGGGGGGGTAGTCCATTATGCATGTTGGTGTGATTTTGAATGCTTTTGAGCCTAGATATATGCCCAAATTTTTAAAATTTGAGGGCTCCAAGAGCATAACAACTTCTACATTTGCATGATCGTAGTGGCACCTTGTGGTGATTTGTAAGGGATCTCGTGGTTATTAGCATGGTCTATGGATGATTTGATTGTGATTGTGTGCATCCTATGATGACGACTTAGACTTGTAATAGGTTTGTACATAGGTTCATTTCTCATGTTTTTGTGAACCGATAGATGTTTTGAATCGATTACTCGCTTTTCACAGTTGCCTATGCATCGAGTTTAGGGAGTGAGACCGAATGACTGAGCACCAAGGTAGCCATGTGGCCTTGTGTCGTTCGTTTCGTTCTTGTGCGTAGTTCCCCTTTACATGATGCGTAGCATTCACGTTGTTGCTAGCGAAGAAGATGGAGGCATATGTTTAGTCCACGACCCAAATGTTAACCGACCCGATCATATCATCCCTTAGTTCAACCCCTTTGAGCCGTGTGTCTAAGGGTCGTTCTCGTGTTAGGTAGCTCACGCTACTTGAGCTTGATTGATTTAGATAGAATGACCCTACTTTTTTCGTGTCTACACCGTTATCAAGTCACCCTTGTGTTTGGAATCTCCATTCATACCATTTGAGCTTAAACGAGGTTCCACATGAGTGATTTGTGTATGGTCTTGCTAAGAAGTGAAGTGAGTGTGGAGGTAGTTTTTCAAAGTGAGCATTGGTCGTTAAGTTAAAAAATGTGGCATGTGTATATAGCTCTCTATAGCCCCCAAAGAAAAGAGAAAAGAAAGGCAAAAAGAAAAAAAAGAGATCAATAAGAGGGCAAAGAAGAAAAGAGAGTGGCCACCAAAAATATAATAAATGTTGAACATGCTCTTAGAAGTGTTGCTTAGCATGTAAGTCATAGGAACACTTACATGTTGTTGACCTCTACACTCTTGTGCTTAAAATTGAATAGCAAAGGTAGCAAGAAAGATTGTTGAGAATGGTTTGGTGATTGGTTGTGGTTTGGAATCGAGGGAAGTGTGGTTTTTGGCCGATGCTAGTGGCCATTGTGTATAGGAGAGGGTTCTAATCGAAACCTTAGAACCTTTTGTAGTTTTAGGATGGAAATGTGGAACCTTGTGCTATGTTTGCCACCACCCAAAAAGCCTTTTCCCAATGTCCTAGACCCTAGCCAGTCATTTAAACTTGTGTCTAAAACCTCCGGACAAGCTAGCAACGACACCCATCTCGTGAGCTCTAACATTTAGAGGCTATCGTCATGATAAAGGGACATTAGGATTGAGCGTGAATATGCACATATTTTGCATCAAATGGTCCTGACCCCACTGGTCGAGAGTGAGGGGGCGTGATTCGGGCCCAAATGTACACATTTTACCCCTCATTTTTTATTCGTTTAGCTTAGTATTTCATCATTCCTCGACATATTTCACACTTGGTTGTGCTTGTTTTGATACATTTCAGGTCCTAGCATGTGTGGAAGGGTCGATGACGAATTTTGGGATAATTGGAGGTAAAAAAAAGTGCAAAAACCGAAGAAAAGTCTGAAGTCAACCGTGACAATTGCCTCGTAACAGTGAATTGAGGGCGTCCAAGAAACAACCGCAGTTCACGATTAGACAAGGCAGTTCACTTCTAAGACCGTGAAGAGGAGGAATGGGTCGTGAACATCAAAGCGTCCAGGGCAAATCCGAAGTTACTGACGCCAGGCGAGTTCACGGTCTCTAAGACCGTGAGCTAGGGCCATTGACCATGAACCCAGAAAGCAAAGCGGTGCGTTTTGGAGACGACTGAGTTCACAGACGCATTTAGGTTTTCACGGCCGTGAACTGGCCAACGCGTCCGTGAACTGATCTGTTTCGGGAAAATATTAAGACAGCAGCGGGGAGAGAGAAGGGAGAGATGGTTTTTGGAGAAGGAACACTTTCTTTCTCTAGGGTTTCAACCTAAAACACTAGAGGTGGCAAATGGATTGGATTGGTGGATCCATGGATCAAATGGATTGGATCTAATGGATTGGTGGATTCATGGATTGGATCAAGTGGATTGGTGGATTATCCATGAATCCAAATGACATCCTCAACCAAGGACCAATATGTAAAATTTAAAAAGTTTAGGTACTAAAATGTCATAATGAAAAATTTTAGGTACCAAAACGTAATTTTCCAATGATATTTTTCGTATAAAAAATTAAATTTTAGGTACCAAAATGTAAAAAATAAAAATTGTAGGTACTAAACCGTAATTTGCCAATGATCCATGAATCCAATCCATGAATCCACCAATCCAATTGGATTTGGATCAAATGTATTGGATTTAAATGGACTAGATTAGGTGGATATTTTTAATGGATTGATGGATTGGATTGAAATTGCCACCTCTATAAAACACCAAAGGGGAGTTCTAGTGAGAGAGAGAGAGAGAGAGAGAGAGAGAGAGAGAGTGCTAGTGTGATCTTGGAGCATCATTGGAGGCTTGGGTGGAGATTCAAGCCTAGAAGAAAAAGAAGAAGATCTTGAGCTCAAATTTGTAATCTCTCTCTCTCTCTCTCTAGAAACTCACTAGTTTCTCTTGGGTGTTGTAGATCCCTAAATAATACTTTGAAATTACTTGTTTAGATTGAATGATTGTTTATGGGTATTGTTTAATCCAATGTTTGAGGTATTATTCATGTTGATTGTGCATGCTTGTGCTTAGCAATCTAAGGGTTAAGCATATTTTATGCTTAGCCTCCTTAGGTTTGTGCATGTTGGTGCTTAGCAACCTAAGGATTGTGAATAATTGTGCTTAGCATCTTTAGGTTTGTGCCTGTTGGTAGTTTCGTGCAAGTCAGATACATGTTGTGACAATAACAATCGATGGACCCATTGCCAAGTGTATAATTAATAAAGGAGAAAATGGTGTAATGGCTACATCATAGACAAAGGATGCTACAGGACGCAGCTACCTTAAAAGAGTATTATTCTGCTGTTCGAGTTTCATGTTGCTCGTCTGGACTAGTCGTTCGAGGATCAGTCGAGCAAGCTTTCCTGGCCTTGGGGTTTCGCTATCAGAGAGTTACAGACCCCTATCTTGCAAAGTTGCTAGTTGCCAGGACGCCATCTCACTTGTGATTTCTCGAAGTCTACCTCGTGACATTATTAAATGAGATTCTGAAATGGTCATCCGTCAGTTAGGCAACATATGTGTTGGCGATTCGGTGGACGGTTCCCTTCTACGTGATTGTCCTCAGTTATTGATTTCGTGTACTTGTTGTATAGTTTTTACGGCGCGATTTCATGGAGTGTCAACTGGGTTTCTCATAGAGTGGCAAAGTAAGCCATAATGTCTTCTGTAGAGTTAGCTTCCTTCAACTTTGTAGGGTGGCTTCACTATGTGTTACCTATGAAGGTTTCTGATAGAGGTTTCTGACTACTTTTTCCCTTGTCATTACTTGGAAGAAGAAGAAAAAAAATGATTATTATTCCAACGTCACCCTTAAAAACAACATCAATCTCACGGAGAGAGATGACGAGTTCCATTATTTGGACGAGTCGTCTTTAAATACAACCCTGAGACACCATAATATTGAAACACGATAATATTCCATTATTTGGACGAGTCGTCTTTAAATCCAACCCTGAAACACCATAATATAGAACCACGATAATATTGAAACCCCTGAACCCCTTACTTGATTCTTCCCCAATTCTTCTCTAGATCCCTCTCAATTCACCCCTGGTCCATAAGTTTCATCATGTTCAACTCACCATTCATTCTCCAAGTTACCACCACGGCCAGGTATTAAATTATTCGACACAGGATTCGAAGGCATGAAGTTGTGAGAAAATGCAGAGCAGCAAAGCCCACAAGTTTTTGGTTGAAGATGTAAAGAGAACGACTGTATCGACCCCTCCTTGGAGAACAAATTCTCCCAGTCGCACACAAGTTGAACGAATAAGAAAACGATATTGGGCACAGAACTGAAGAAAAAATAACTAGGAAACTGTCTGCAATTTCACTCTAAAATAACTAGGAACCACAAACAATTATTGCATCATAGATGGAGCCTCCACCCATCAGACATGTCATGACGGAGACATTATCAATGTTTCATGACATTTACACTTGCTCATATTCAGTGCACAACAACAACAACAAAATATCCCAAGATACCTAGCTTTCCTTCTTGAATCACTCTACCAGATCGTAATTTGTAAGAAGTTACCTCATTAACGGCGCAACGACACCACCCGCCGGCCGCCATGTTCAAGCAATCCCCACGAGTACCAGTGATTATACCGCCTCCAAACTTTGCTATACGTTGGTAACCCCAACGAAGTCGGTTCTCTTCTCTTTTTTTTTTTTTTTTCTTTATCCATTTTCCGAATGAGCATCACTAAGCAGCATGGTGATGCGGGTTAGAACATCATGTGATCCGTATAGCACTCCGACTACATTTTTCCGTCGTTGTCGAGATCTCGATGGGAATAAGTTAGTCTTAGGATGGATGAGACCTGGACAGTTAGCTCTGGTTCAGAGTTTGTCCAGGATATTCCGACTGGAAAAGCACAAAATAATTAGGGGTAGTGAAAGCATTTGGTGCGAGGCTACTCGGCCGCCGGCACTCCCATATGTATCAACTTCTCAGGCGACTTGAGCAACTTCTTCAACGAGTCCACTATGCTTCTGAACGTAGGCCGTCGAGCCGGTTCACTGGAGCATAGGTTAGAAAGAAGAATATTATACACATCAATCACTTGTTATCTCATTATTATGCGATGGTAAGTGAGATTTTAGTAGTTACTTACTCGGACCAACAAGCTTCTATAAGGGCAGTCAACACCGGGGAGGTACCAGGTGGGATTGCGAGCCTTCGGTTCTGGAAAGCGACCGCACCAACAACCTGACATGGTGTCGAAACAGAGATCGAAATATGCCTGTAAGCTCCTAAACCGGATGGAGGCTAAAGATAGAGAAGAGAGATTGGTTGTAGTATTGTATACCTGGGCGGGACCAAGTCCATTCCAAGGCTGTTGCATGGTTACGAGCTCCCATAAGATGACTCCGAAACTGTAAACATCAGATTTCTCATTCGAAGGCTCTCCTCGAAGGAATTCGGGAGCCATCCACTCTGGCTGAAAATTAAAACTAAGTGAGTGGTTACATTCTCATGCACTCACTTCCAATTCAAATTTTCAACCTGCAACATATTTGATCCAACTATCTGACTACTGGGTTAATAAATAAATACTAAGTTTATGCATAAAGGGGACGAACTTACTGTCCCAGCTACTGATTTTGATGGAATGAAAGTGTTGGCCTTGAATCTAGAGAGCCCAAAGTCACACACCTGAATTGTTGTAACAAACTATGAGTCACCGAAACAAGAAGCTAGTTAGACGAGAGTGCGAGAGGTGCTCTGGAGGTCCACAGTTACACCCACCTTGACTGTCCAATTTTTATCAACCAACAGATTTGGAGATTTCAGGTCCCAATGAACAATAGGAGGGGTAAGACTATGGAGATAGTTAACACCTTTTGCCTGTGTTCCCAACACAATAAACAAAACAGTAAGCCACTTTACACTATCAGATTCAAAATCATTAAACGGCATAGCCTATACAGGTCAGGGTAGACACGAACCACATCCAATGCAATTCTTAACCGTCTCCTTTGATCCAGGACCTCCCCTGCAGCTGGCCTGTGTATCAGGCGATACAGACTACCCCTACCAGATATAAGCAATCAAATTCAAATGGAGTTTGGTTAGGAATTATTTGGAACCAGTGATCTGCCCTAGTTAATGAAAGACTAAAATGTATAATTTACCTAGGTAGGTACTCTGTCACAATAGAAAGATGAGGACGCTTTGTGACAGCACCCATGAACAGAACCACGTTGGGATGGCGGACCCGTTTCATAATTGAAACCTGGATCAAGAAAAATCAATCATCAATCAATTAATTAAAAGCGCAAGGGAACGTACTGTTCCTCACGAATTTCTCGCCCCGTGAGTCGGTAGTTACTGTTCACCGGGGGGATTTTTTGTATGAGCCGGATGCATTATATATCTACGTTTGCCTATTTTCCTGGTAACTAATAGTTAGTTCACCGGGAGATTATTGTTATGCGTCATTATATAATTATCGTGCCCAATTTCCTTTCTTGCCTAATTTCCTGGTACAAATATATCATGCAAAACATATGGATGAATAGTTATTTGTAATGTATTGTGGTATCATGTACTGAATTGTTATTTCGAATGAAAATTTCTTTATTACTGCTAAATATTTCACCATATAATCAATTTGTATTACATTAAAGTGACACATTTATAAATTAAAAAAATACACAAGCATTTTGTAATATATGTTTGAATGAAAATTGCTTTGATATTATATTAAATTTTGACCATCTCATCAATTTGTATTACACATAAGTTGTTTAATCAAATGTCATGCTTTACATAACTTAATTCATATATTATCAACTAAAATTCCTTCATTATTAACTAACATATGCATCATGTCATCGATTTCCATTACACAAACGTCTAATAAGGTGAATGAACTTTTACATAACAATTTAATCAAGTGTGATATTTTTTATAACTTGATTTTATTATTAGACCGCACATTACGAAAGATTTACGTAACAACTTTGTATAACAGTAACATAAATTATATGCCTTACGTAAAATTTATGGAGAAATAGTTATTTCTTAGGTATAGAGTATATAAGTATTCTCTAATTATTAAGACACCAAATAAAACTTATTGAACTCATCATAATGAACTAGATGAAGTTTGAAATATAATGAATTCCTCACCGCTGCGAAGCGCGGGCCATAAAACTAGTGCCAGCCATAAAACTAGTGCCAATTATACGACGTCGCTAAGGCATGATATCTACTTGAAGCAACCAACATTTCCATAAAAATTATAGCAATTTTGTAATACGTTCAAGGACAACGCACCTCCCTTAAGAACTCTCTTAACTGATCATCTTGAAAATCTTGCACAGTGAGAACCTTGACAGCAACATCCTGCATTTTCAACAAAAAGATACCCGCTGTAAGTGTTGTGAAGAAGATAAGAAAATGTTTGATAGAGCTACGCGGTCAAACTGATTCAAACTAGGGGTTCATGCATAAGGAAAAAGCCTATGCCCTGATGTTTGTAGAAAAACCAATTACTAATTAGTTAAGTACCCTTTCTCCCTTACAACTACCTGCTCTCTTTGAAATTAAAACGAAAAATGGCAGCAGAGTAACAACTATCTGTAGAAGTTCACACATTCAGGCATCTGCCAGAACTCATTAGATATGGTAAGGATATAGCACAAGGTGAATTTACTAACCGATCCATGCCAATCAGCACGATGCACTGTTCCAAATGAGCCTGCAAGCACAAAAATCAACCATTCAGATAACAGTATCGAAGGTTATTTCAAACTTCGAAAAGAAAGGAGAAAAAATATAGCTCAAATAGATGAAAAAATAGAGCCAGACGAAGAAATACCAGCACCAATACGCTCCTTTATATGCAAATCATCCCATGAAATCTCAAGCCAGTCCATTGCTAGTGAAGGCTCGAGATTCAAAAAATTAGGGGCAGTCGTCGGGAAGGATAAACGGCTTCTGTTATCTGGTTTACTTTCGACTTCCTTCACATCAGATTCCATGGAAAGGCTAACCTTGGTATGGGTTACAATGCTCTTTTGGACAAGCTTAGCAGCATCAAATGTTTCTGCATTCGTTTCCAAATCTAAACGCATCATTGAAGATTCCATTTCGAAACAAGCTCTTTCTACTCCACTGAAAGCAGAAACCCTTGCGGTTCCAATAGTTTTCTGGCTTTCCTCATTATCGCCTGCAACAAATATACATCAATATCAACATCTGCAGTTTTCCTGGGCAAATATACGGCACAAACTAGTCTTCTTTACTTTGAATCTGAAACCGAAAAATAGAAATTTCCAGGCAAGTGAAAAATGGCATGTGCATACCTGCACATGGATGATTTTCGGGTAACATGCATAATTTCTTTGAGCCTACAAGTTGAGATGGCACATCAACCATTGCAGGTTGCTGAAACTCTCTTAGATGTGGAATTTGAAATGGCGAAGGTATTGGAGAAGTGAATCCTCCATTGATTGTTGAATCAGGACCGTGGATGTTTCCTGGCTGCCCAATGAGATCTACAACGTATTCCCTGCAAGGAAATACGTAATTCTGATATTAGATATGAAGAACAAACACAAAAGTCAATGCAGAGTAAGCTATGAAACGCATCGACTAACTGTTCAGAGATATCCACTTATCTCATTTTTAGCCCCCATACCCATCTGAAATTATTTTAGCTTTTTCCGGTAAGCCATCCTAGAGCAACCAAGACTTTCAGCACTAGATAAGGACGAACAGTAAAACATCACTAGATAATTCATGCAGCTGTTACACTAGTGATGAACAGTGATGCCAAACCCAAATTTCTCAGACTTGTTTTCTTTCCTTTCCTCAATAATTTTGCAATTGCACTCAGCAATGTGCTGATATTGTTTGATCGCGAAAGCTCCTCGTCATAGTTCACCGAGTACGTTTAGAATGTAAACAAAATAAGTCCATAAAACAGACCTTGACAACTGTCTGTCATCCTCGATTTTGACAAGGCATGAAGATCTGTGGTCTGCAACACAGTACTTGCAGCCCCGAGCTATACGACATGGTAAACCGATGTAGTCAGCCAATTTCTGCAAATAATGCCAAAGACAATTCAAAAAAACATCAGTGAGATTAGCTACAAACAGTAGTCGTAAAGTTAGTCGCTGCTCATTTTATTCCCAGCTGCGCCTGCAGCGCTCAGTTCAATTATTTGTATGGGTCCATACCTTGAAAAGTATTGCACGATGCCTGCAGAGTCCCATGGATAAGTTGCCAATCGGGAGAACGATGCACTTCTGGTATTCCCTCAATCTTCCACTGACCAATTTCCAGCGCTGCTGCATATCACCTTGCTCCAACGGGAAATTGCCCCTGCAAATGTGCTAAAGCTTTTTGTCTCCGAGGAAGCAAGCAGCAAACTGTACTAACTCAGAAAAGAAGACGAAAATGGGAACTTACCCCATGCAGATAGCAACAAGTTTACCCAATTTCTCCACCAACACCAATGGATTCTCCGATGCACAATACAGCTCTTGAGCTTTATCCTCGAGTTCTCTCAGACGCGGGTCGCTCCGTTTATCAACGAGAACCACCTCCATTGAAGTATTACTGGGGTCGACTTCTCTGAGCGCCATAAGAGACGGCAGCTTTCTTCCTTCCTCCTCGTCCGTGCACATTACCCAGAGATACGGATTCATCCCCAGGATATTGTAGAAACCATCTGATATCTTGTCATTGTACGACAAACAGCCACTTACCTGCCACAATTTTGAAATTACACTAAGCACACGAATTCAAACTCCATATCCCGAAATTTCTGAATTGAGTGAAGGCAGCAGTAGTACGAAGATTACCCAGAGCCTGTAAGAAACAGTTTCAACATCGGGAATCTCAAGCGAGCCATCTTTCAATAGCAGGAGCTCGCCGGAAATATCAGCCTGCAAACTCAGCCTCCTGGCCAAACCAAGCTGTAGACAGTAGCTTTCACTAGTCCTCTGCGCGAAACTCTTCGCGCTTCTCTCCACCTCGTCGGCCACCTCCTGCGCCACCGCCGCCGCCTCCCGCTGCCTCGACGTCGCCCCCGGAACCAGTGTGGTGGCGGTCGTGGCGGCGTCCTTGAGGTCGCTCGAGAAGGTGAAGTTCCCGTCAAGCGTAGTCCCGGAGAACAAGCTACCAGCGTAACTACTCCCGCTGGAGAATCGCGGCAACGAGACCTGCCGGTCAAAGTTCCGGTCAACATCACGGAGATCCTTCATCACTACGTTAATCTCCGACTCCGGCGGCGGAGGAGCAAGCAACCGCTCCGTCTCGTCGAATTCATCGCTCGACAATCTGCACCTCAGCTTGACTCCGAAAACCTCCCTGGGCTCATTATCCGGATCCTGAACCTTAGCCTCTTGCTCCGGCGCCGCTGCCGCCGCCAGCAAGCGGTCGTCTGAATCATCAACACCGTCGTAATAATCACTTCTCGACAATCTCGTTTTCAATCTCACGTGACCAGAAGAGGTGGAGCTCCTGTCCACCTTCCTCTCGGCCAGCCAGTCACGGAAATCGGCGAGCTGCTTCTTCTTCCTCCGGGATTTGTCTCCATAATTCTCCCTCTGGTGGTACCTGTCGTCGTCGCTGCTCGTGAAGAGATCGGAAAGTGGCGAAGTCGTGGCGGCGATCGAGGTCGCTTTCGGAGCTGGTGGATCGCTGCTGCCAACTGTGGCAGAGTCCCGGTGGAGGCCGTCGTTTTCGCAGGTAAACGTCTCTTTCGATGACGCCTTTTGCTTCTCGTGATCCAACAGCTGCTTCTTCGACGACGTCGCATCGAGAGGTGACTGCCGATCGGGGAATTGCCTCGGGAAGAAGTAAGTCGCTCTGTGAGGCATTCTTTCGCTTTTGGGCCCCAAAAAAAAAAAAAAATCTCAGCTCTCAAGTCTCAGCCCCTCCTTTTCCCTCAAAAAAGCTTCACGAGAAACCGACTCCAAACTCCAAACGCACGAGCGTCCCCCGCCGTCGACTTCACCGAACCAGCGAAAAAGGAAGAAAGAAGGCAATAAATCGCCGTGAGGGAGAGGGAAACCTTTCTGCTGATCAGGTCACGTTAACGGAGTTGGCTTGATCTCCTCCTCCGCCGTGCACTTGCAATTCGATCGAATTCGGGGGAAAACGCATTTCCGGTGGCCGTGCTTTCGCTCACCAGCTCCGAAATTCAATCGACGATCTCGTGACTAAATCGAGCACTTCAAGCTTTTGATGATACTGCTCCAATGGCTAGCTGCAGAGAAGTAACAGAAAAACGATATCCAGCTGAGACAAGCAGTACAGATTACGTTTTTCCTGCTGCGTATTCTAGCTGTAGAACGAGAGGGAGAGTGACGGAGTGTTGAAGAAGAGAGAGAGAGGGGGGGAGAAAAACGATTCGGAGAGACGAGGGGCTGGTGGAGAGTAGAGAGACGGGGGGCGGCGGGTTTTGCCGTTTTGGGGAGTTTTTTAATTTTTCAAGGAAAGAGGGAAACAATAGATAGGATGGGAAAGGAAATCATTCATTGGCCCATTGCGGGAAAAAGGAAAATGAAAATGTTTACGAGGAAGAGAGATGAAGTACGAAGCTAAACGGCGCGCGGGGTGTCAGTGCGCACCTTTCTCAATGTGAGCACACGTAAGCCTGAGAACGACGGTGGTGGCGACACGTGTGGCGTGACCGCATAGGGTGCGAGCACTGCGCTCCTAGGCGTAGGTTAGCAGGGATGGGTATTCTGCTGCTACCGGGTCCCGGGAGGGGAACGAGGGGCGGATTATAATAATTAATATTATTTTTACATTAATAAAAATGCTTTTTGGACTGTGATTATCTTATGCCGTGCAAGTCGTCCGTGGGTTAGGGGATTGGATCGGACTTTTGGCATCGGTCTTAACCGGCCCCTATCCAGTCCGTGGATGTGAAAATTGAGATTTGAGTGTTTAGCGGATAGAGATGTACAGGATAAATATTTAGTTTGGGATTACTATTATTTAGGGTTATAGTTTTAATATGTTTCTCTACTATGACGTATTATTAAATATGCCCTTCTACTAATTTTTACATCAAACATGTCCATGTACTTTGTAAAAATGATCAAACATGCTCTTTTGTTAAAATTTTCATCCAAAAACCGTTAACCAAGGCCGAACTTTAGTTTGGGCGACACAAATGACTAAAATATCCCTAATAAATTCACTTTAGAATTTTTTTGGTTCTTTTGTATAATCAAATCATTCAAATAATTTCACTTTGAAAAGACCCAGGGAAATAAAACAGGGGACAAAACTGACATTTTCCCTCCCATTTGTCGATGTCGGGTCGTCTAAATATCAATTCAACCATGATTGACAATTTTTTCAATGGAAATTTTAACAGAAGGGCATGTTTGATAATTTTTTTAAAGTACAGGGGGCATATTTGATGTAAAAAAATAGTAGAGGGGCATGTTTAATAAAACGTCATAGTAGAGGGGCATATTATACCTATAACCCTTATTATTTATTGGTGTAGGATTGGGTTACCTTATCTTAAGGGGAAAGGGTTTGTAGAATTAGTCCTATAAATTTGTACATTTGCTCTTCTAATTTCATTCAAGCAATAAAGTTCAGTATTTAGTAGTAAATTAGCTCTCTTTTATCGCATTCTTATATCTTTCAGAGAAGCGTTCGGGTTCTACGACGCCTGAGATCCTATCACGCGTCAATTGGTATCAAAGACGGTTTCAGAGCGACCGAAGTCAGGGAACCATGCCACCACGCAAGGCGTCGACCCAATCCTCGTATCAAGAAGCCTGTGGCAATGACGAGCTAGGGCAACAACTCCAAGCTCTTGCCAGCCATGAATAGGAGATCGCGACCATGTTTGATGCTCATAACGTAAAAAAATCGTGAGCACGAAGCTGCCCATAGCACCTGTGTATGTGTGTCGATGCAGGCAACTCCAACGCGGCCAAGAGAAACTGTAAGATGGGTTGCATCGACTGAAAGAAGAGATCAATATACGCATTGAACAGAACCGCCTAGCAAACGATGTTAGCTTCATCCTAGCCATCCTTCCTACCTTCCCTGGGGAAAGCCGCAAGGTGATCACCAAGGGAGCATGACCGCGGTGCCGCAAAGGAGAGCCGCATCATTGACCAGATCCTGACGGTGGAGAAACAAAAGGGAATCGCCGACGGTGGTGACATGGAGGCGCTCTTGCCTGGTAACTAGAGCTCGATGCCGACATCAGGAAAGAAGACGAGCGAGCCAGATAGAGCCTCGCCTGAATCACGAGACGCGGAGAGGAGGCGCGTCGAGAAGCTGCTCGCAGCGGAGGAGCTGACCGAGGGATTCTCGTCGGGCGGGACCGGGGAAATTTCACCGTCCATGGCAAAAATGAGTCAGTCGTCGCTCTAGGGGCGGGTCAGCAAATGGGCAAACCTTGAGGCCACCAATTGTGGGATCTCGGTCATGATTCGCGGGCTTGGGCTGAATATGGACGGCTCATAGAGGCTCTTCTTTATGGAGTAGGCCGGGTGCGCATGAGGAAGATCAAAGTGGGAGTGATCTAACTGGGTCGGACTATTGGGCTGGAGGCGTAGGAGCGTCTGGTAGACATGCGGGCTTGACGCCAATGAGTCGGGCTCTCAAGTTGGCGGCTGGGCCGGAAACACAAGAGATAATGGTGTTGGTTGCTCTGTGGGCCGCGACCAGAACTGGAATGAGCTAGGTAGGGCCAAGACCCCCCATGGGCTGGAGCGGGTATCTGATGGGTCACGAATCGCCCTACGTGGCGCTGGGTCCATACTCAGCCAGACCATCTGGGTTGGTCTCAACCCATGGGGAATTTGGGTCCATATGAAGAACTGGGACAAGCTATGTTCTAGGCTCGCATCACAACACTTGAGTTTCCAAAGTTCGCTGGCAGGGAGGTTCTTTCGGGGTGGGTCTCGCGTGTTGAGAAGTACTTCTGATTTCAATGAATTCCAAGAGAGCATAGAGTGGCGCTAGACACGTACCACATGGATGGCAACGTGAACTAGTGGATAATAATATAATATGGTGGAGGAAGAGCTATCGAAGCACGGAGTGATCATGACTTGGATCAGTCTATGTGTCGAGTTGTGAAAAATGTATGGTTCATCGGAGAAATCCTCTCGGCATGAGGTGTTGGCCAAAATTCGTCAAACCATATCCTTTGACGAATATCAACATGCTTTCGAGAATCTGCTGAATTGTTGTCGAGGTTGGTCCAAGGTGGCGATCATAGGGTCGTATGTGGGTGGGTTGAATCAAGAGATATCCGCCTATATTCAAGCTTTCAAACCCCAAACAATCGGAGAGGCGTATCAACTGGCCAAGATACGTGAAGAGGAGCTGTGATTGGACCAGGCCACGACGGGAAGCGTGTCGTGGGCCACATCACCCACTGCTAACATGGCCTTGACACCACCACCATCGATGCCAGATTCTAGATGAGCTTCACCACTTCTACTGTTGCGCATCATTCACAAAATATCGCTGGAGGAAGTTGCTTGACGTCGTCGTGACGGATTATGCTACAATTGTGATGAGAGGCTCACATATGGCATCGATGTGCAAATGCAAACATCTTTGTCATGATCAGGGACTTCAAGGAGGAAGACGAAGGAGAGGCAGCGAAAGGCGACCTCGAAGACGAAGTTGTTTGAGGGGGGAAGATTGTTGCATTATAGGCTCCTAGGGAAAGTAGGATTTATTATTATTATTATTATTATTTTCAATATTAATTATCGGTTAGAATATCCCGTTATTATTTGGCTATTCGTATTAGTTTGTGTCTAGAATTATTATTACTATTTATTGTATCTTGTCAAGGAAGTAATCATTTACTTATTGGTTTAGAATTGAGTTACCTTGTCTTAAGGGGAAAGGGTTTGTAGGTTTAATCCTATAAATATTTACCTTTGCTTTTCTAATTTCGTTCAAGCAATAAAGTTCAATATTTAGTAGTAAATTAGCTCTCTTTTATTGCGTTTTTAGTTCTTTCATAGAAGCGTTCGAGTTCTACAATGCGTGAGATCCTATCACGTTTCAGAGTCATGAGTATGGACAAAGCCTACATAGTACAAGAAGGATGAAAAATTTATGTTTGTGTTGATGCGTAACAAGAGTTTTACTTTTGATAATTTTGATATTGACTCATGAAATCTTATAGACCTTTTAGATAGTCTAGTGAAATTAGAGAAAGATGACATGAGAGTGCACTTATTAGCCTCAATTTCAACGGGTTGTGTAAAATAAATTGGAAAGAAATGTTCAGTAAAGTTGCTTGCAATCATGAACTGTAAAATTATCTAAAAGTCGAGGTAGGCGGCAGCGATGGAGCGAAAACTTTAAACGAAGGGAAATCGAAAATTTTGCAAACAATCTGAATTCTAATTACCACAAGATGCTAAAGTCTTACCAAAACACAAAAGTTAAGTGAGGGTATTGAGCTAATAAAATTTCGGGATGAGTTTAAGTCAAGTACGGTGCATCCTACAACGAATAATAAAACGATAACCCATTTACTTTTATTAATTAAGAATACAATGTGGCTCTCATCTTGTAGCATTTCGCATAGAGAATTGTCAATTATGTGCATAATATTTAGGCAAAATACACTTGTATAGCCAAAACGTTCACGTTTGTGCCAATAATAGCCAAATTTGGCGAAATACCACTTATAGGCACCTTTTAAAGATGTTGTAGGACAAATATAGTCATTTCCGTTAGAAACTTTAACGGTGTTAATAACACCGTCAACTTATTTGACGGTTGCTTGACTAGGCGCCAACTCAACGGACACGTCAGGGCCAAATAAGCAAATAGTGACATGTCAGATATTTAAAATATTTATTATTTTCACATAAATAATTAAAAATTAAAAATTCATCGATTAATCCTCCCTATTCTCCACCAATCAACATCCACTTTCTGATCGATTCGACGATTACTCCTCCCCATTCCCGCAAATCCTCTTCCCCAAATCCCTCCCACTTTGCTTATTCATGACCCCCGAAATCGATGATTTCTCCTGCCCAAAACTTCAAGTAAGTTGTAGCCATGTCCAACCGAACATCTTCATCAACTTCAATAAGCATCAAAAGTCAAGGGGTGGTATATGTTGGCAGAATAAGCCATGTGTGGTCAATACATCTGGAACGGAGTTGAACCCAGGCAGGCAGTTCTATGGGTGTCCATATCGGATGATAAAGTGGTCGAGACATGGTTTTTGTATTTGTGTGGTACTCGTCTTTGATATATGTGATAAGTATATTGCTCTATGGTACAGGACGAGAGTAAGAACTGTCGGTTTTTTAGGTGGATGTGAATGAATGTGGATGAAGATAAGCAAGAAAACTCTAAAAGTAATTGTTCGATTTTGAAGCTCGAAGATAGTTTGCGTATATCCCAGTGTAAGGCAGAGAGGAAGAAGAAAGAGAAGAAAATTATGGATGAGGAGCTATCTAGATGGATGAAGGCGCATGAATTATGCTTACTGAAGGAAGTAGGGTTAATCATGATATTCATGTAATTCGATATCAGTTCACGGTTATTGTTGTACTTAATGTGTCATTGGTTGTTCTTCTACGACACCACTTTCTTATGTAGAAGCTGTTGTAATTCGACATTATTGTGTTGTAGGAGATTATTCGAAATAGTTGTTAACGTAATCAATAGTAGTTTCTTATGCGTACAAGTTGTT